CTCTCCGCGGTGGCCAGAGGCTGCGCCGGGGGGAGGGCGGCGAGCCCGGCCGGGGCTCCGCTCTCCCCGGCGGCCAGAGCGCCGGGGGGAGGGCGGCGAGCCCGGCCGGGGCTCCGCTCTCCACGGGGGCCAGAGCGCCGGGGGGAGGGCCGCGAGCCCCGCCGGGGCTCCGATCTCCGCGGTGGCCAGAGGCTGCGCCAGGGGGAGGGCGGCGAGCCCAGTCGCGGACCCGCTCTCGGGCCGGAGCGCCGCGCCGCCCCTCTCCAGGTGCCGCCCCAAGCACCAGCTTGGTGGGCTGGTGCCTGGAGCCAGCCCTGGTTATAGCCCACAAAAGCTTATGCTCAAATAAATTTGTTAGTCTCTAAGGTGCCACAGGACTCCTCATTGTTTTTGTGAGAGGATCCAGGCCCTGAATCCCCAACTGTGCTTTAAGCTTCCCTGGGTCTCAGCAGGCTGCAGGTCTGTTTTCTCCCTGGGCCTCGCTGGCATATTTTCTGGACACACCCATCCTGTCTGCCACCCCTGCTTGGAAACGGAGCCCCTCAGCCCACCCGCCCTAGCAACCTGCAACTAGTGCGAGTAGTTTAAACACACCCTCTGCCAAGTATCGCATCGAAGGTCTGAGCCTCCCAGGTTACTTCTTAACTAGGGTTACCATACGTCCGGATTTTCCCGGACATGTCCGGCTTTTTGGTCATCAAATCCCCGTCCGGGGGGAAATTCCAAAAAGCCGGACATGTCCGGGAAAATAGGGAGGGGTCGTGGGGCTTGGATCCGCGCCGGAGCCACTTGGGCCGGCGGTGCTCGGCCGCCGGCCGGCGCTGCTTGGCCGGGGCCGGAGCCGGTGCTGGGGCCGGTGCTGGATGGGCCAGTGCCCCGGGGCCCGATCCAAGCTGGAGTCGCCGGGGCCGGGGCTGGAGTGCTCGGCTGGAACCGGGGCCGGCGCCCCAGGGCCCGAGCTGAGCCGGGCCGGAGCCGCCGGGGCCGGAGCCGCTCGGCCAGGGCCGGTGCCCGAGCCTAGCTGGAGCCGCCGGGGCGGGCCGGGGCCGGCGCACTCGGCCGGAACCGGGGCCGGTGCCCCAAGGCCTGAGCCGAGCTGGGCCGGAGCCGCTCGGCCGGGGGGCCGGACTGGGCCGTGCCTCCTTGCGCCACCCTCCGACCCAGCTTACCTGCTGCCTGCCTGTTTCAGGCTTCCCATGAACATTTGATTCGTGGGAAGCAGGGGGTCAGAGCGTTCAGGGGAGGGGCGGAGTTGGGGGGGGGATTTTGGGAAAGGGGCGGAGTTGGGTGGGGCCGTGGCGGGGAAGGGGGCGGAGTTGGGGCGGGGCCCCTTGGAGTGTGCTCTTTTTGTTATTTTAAAATATGGTAACCCTACCCACTGGCAGCCAAGCTCCCCTTACTCCCCACCTCCTTCTCCTCCTCCTCCTCCTCTGAGCGCACTGCATCCCTACTCCTCCACCTGCCTCCCAGCAATCCCCCCCCCCCGCAGCCGCCGCAAAACAGCTGTTTGGCAGCATTAGCATGCTCCGGCAGTGGGGGGAGGAGCGGGAACATGGCGCGCTCAAGGGAGGAAGTGGGAAAGAGGCGGGTCCAGGGTGGGGATTTGGGGAAGGAATTGAAATGTTGACAGGGAGAGGGCGGAGTTGGGCCAGGGACAGGGCCGGCTCCAGCTTTTTTGCCGCCCCAAAGATAAATCCGATCAGTGGTACTTCGGCTCAATCGCGCTGCTTCATTCTTCAGCGGCGGGTCCTTCGCTCCCTCTTTTCCTCTTCGGCGGCACTTCGGCAGCAGCTCAAAGAGGAAGAGAGGGACTGAGGGACCCGCCACCAAATTGCCGCTGAAGACCCGGACGTGCCGCCCCTTTCCATTGGCCGCCCCAAGCACCTGCTTCCTTTGCTGGTCCCTGGAGATGGCCCTGGGCAGGGACTTTGGGGAAGGTTTGGAATGGGGGCGGGGAAGGGGTGGGAAGAGGCAGGGCAGGGGCGGGGCCTCATGGAAGGGATGGGGTGGGGGCGGGGACTGAGCAGGGGGTCGAGCACCCGGGGGAAAGAGGGGAAGTTGGTGCCTATGCAGCAGGCTGCAGGTCTGTTTTCTCCCTGGGTCTCGCTGGCTCATTTCCTGGGCACCGCCACCCTCAGTCTGCCACCCCTGCTTGGAAACGGAGCCCCTCAGCCCACCCGCCCTAGCAACCTGCAACGAGCGCGAGTAGTTTAAACACACCCTCAGCCAGTATTGCACCAATGGTCTGAGCCTCCAGTCCCGGGTAACTGTTTAACATTCTCAGGGGACACGGGGCAGTTGTAGGGTTGCCAACTCTCCCGGACCGGAAGCCATTTTGCAGCAACAGCGTCCCCATTTGCGTCAATGTCCGGGAGAGTTGGCAACCCTAGGCAGTTGTGAAGTGTGAAATGCACAGACAGGCTTTGCACAGAATTCGAACGGCACTAGTGCCCTCTTCAGACAAAGCACAAGCGAGAACAGATCATTTAGAAAACAACTAGTACGCCATGCCCTTCACTATCTCCCCCTTCCCTCGGGAATCCTTGCGGGGTCTGTGCTTTGGAAGGCGGGGGGTCCCTCCGCCCCATCAGCAGGGCCGGCTCTGGCTTTTTTGCCGCCCTAGGCAAAAAAGTCAGCGGCCGCCCCCCCCCCCCCCCCGCGCGGGGGGGGAGGGCGGCAAGCCCGGCCGGGACCCTCCGCTCTCCCCCCGGCGGCAAGCTCGGCCGGGGCTCTCCGCTCTCCCCTGCGGCCAGAGCACCGGGAGCAGGACAGAGAGCCCGGCTGGGGCTCTCCGCTCTCCCCGGCGGCCAGAGAGCCCCCGGCGGCCAGAGCGCCGGGAG